CACAAAAAACAGAATACACATTCTTCTGCACAGCAAATGAAACTTTTTCCAAAAGAGCCCACACTCCTGCCCATAAAGCACGTTGAAATAAATATAAAAGAATTAAAATTATTCCATGCATATTGTCATGTCATAGTGCAATGAAACTAGAAATGGATGGAAAAGAAACCATAGAAATTATGCAATCACATAGAAATTAAACAGTGCACATTTGAGTAACCAGTGGGTCTCAGAAAAAATTAGACAGTTCCTAGAATCAAATGATAATGCATGAAAATATACCAGAACCTATGAGACACCATGAAAGCAGTTCTAAAAGGAAAGTTTATACCTGTGAATGCCAACATCAGAAAAAATGAATCCACATAAACAACCAAATGATGCACCTCAAAATCCTAGAAAGATAAAAATGGTCCAAATTCAAATCTAGTACAAAGAAGAAAATAATTATAAAGATCAGACCAGAAATTAATGAAATAAAGGTTTAAAACACAAAATTAATGAATCAAAGAGCTTGCTCTTCAAAAAATAAACATAGTTGGCAAACCCATAGCCAACTTTATAAAAAAAATTTAAAGGAAAGAAAATATTCAAATCAATGCAATTAAAAATAAAAAGGTAGAATTACAATGGGTACAGAATGAATTCAGAAGATTATTCATAACTACATTGAAAACTTGTACTTTAATAAATTAGCAAATCTAGAGGAAACATAGATGCCTAGACATGTGAATTACTGAAACTAACCAAACACTGAATAAACCAATAACAGATGATGAAATTGAGGCAGTAATAAAAAAGACTACATCTAAGAAAAGTCCAAGACATGATGAATTATCACTGAATTCCATAAGAACTCCAAGAAAGATCTAATACTAATACTCCTAAAATTCTTTTATGAAATCAAAAAGGAAGGAGGATTGCCAAACTCATTCCTAGAGCTCATTCCTAGAATTATCTTGCTTCCAAAACCAGACAAGCACTCACCTCAAAAACAAAACTAAAGGCCAATCACTTTACTGAACATAGATGCAAAGATCTACAAGACTGGCAAACAGTATGCAACAAATAATTTTAAAAAGTCATTCATAATAACCAGGTAGGCTTTAAGGATATAAGGATGGTTCATTATATGCAAATCAATAAATAAGATATATTGCATAAATAGAAGCCAGGCAAAAAATCACATTAGCATCCCAATACATGCAGAAAAAGGCTTTGACAAAATCTCAAATCCATTCATGATAAAAAAAAACTTGAAGAAAATATGTATAGCAAGCTTATAAAAGCCACTTACAACAAACCTAATGTCAACATCAAGTTAAATGGGGAAAAACTGAAAGCTTTTCCTCTAAAATCAGGAACAACGATGCCCATTCTCAACATGCCTCTTCAGTTTAGTACTTGGAAATTTAGCCTGAGTGATCAGGCAAGAGAAAGAGATAAAAGGAATGTGTACAAAAAATAGTCAAATTATCTTATTCACAGATGACATGGTTCTCTGCACCAAAAGAATCCTGGAACTAATTTAAAACTTCAACAAAATAGCAGAATACAAAATTAACATATAAAATCAGTAGCACTCCTATACAGCAATTATGAACTCATCGAGGAAGAAATTAGAAAAGCAATACCATGCACATAACTTGAAGGAAAATTACTTAAGAAATAACCTAACAAAGGAAGTGAAATAACTTTATGATGAAAACCACAGTACTCTGAAATAGGAGATAAAAGAGAATATCAAAGAGTGGAAAGATATCCTGTTCTTGTATAGGCAGAACCATCTGAACTTAGACAAAAGTGTCAAAAACATATGATGGATGAAAGATATCTCTTTATCAAATGGTACTGGGAAAATTGACTATATTTAAGCAGAATATTAAATCTAGACCCATATCTTTACTATGTACTAACATACAATCAAGATGGAGCAAACATCTAAATATTTAAAAACAATTAAGATGTATTATGTACTTATACAAACTCCCCACAAAAATGTAATCATTATATACTGTGAATATGTACTAATAAAAATAAATATTAAGCAAATATTTAATCTTCTGGAAGATAAAATAAGTAAATCATTTGAAGATGTAGGCATAGGTAAGGATGTTCTGAACAGAATCCCAACTATACAAGAAGTAAAATCAAGAATCAACAAATGGGAGCATGTCAAATTAAAGAGATTCTGCACAGCATATAAAATAACCAAAAGAGTAATGAGACAACCTACAGAATGAAAAATTTTACCAGCTACACCTTGAACAGTGGATTAATATTTTTTTGGAGAGAAAGTAGCAGGCATCAAACTCAGAACTTTGCACTTGCCAGACAGGAGCTGTTTTGCTGAGCTGTATCCCCAGCCCCTATAATATCTACATTATATAAAGAACTAAAAAAAAAAAAATTAGAACCCCTCCCCCAAATAAAACAGCCAGCCAAAAACTGGGCAACTATAAGAATGGCCAATAAATACATGAAAATATGTTCAACATCGGTGGCCATTAGAGAAATGTAAATTAAAACAATGCTAAGATTCTACTTACTCCATACAAAAAGACTTCATCAAGAAATCCAACAACAAATGATGGTGAAGCTCCAGGGAAAAAGGAATTCCTCTACATTGTCAGCACATCCATTGTGGAAAGCAATATGCAGATTCAAAAAAAAACTAAAATTAGAAATTCCTTTAGACTTACTCATTCCCATTTTAGGTATCTTACCAAAAAGAGTTAAAGAAATCATATTCCAGTGGTACGTGCATAACCATGTTTATAGCTGCGTAACAAAAATAGCTAAATCTTGGAGTAGCTTCCATCAAAAGATTAATGGATAAAGAAAATGGCATGTTTACACACAGTGGAGTACTACTCTGCTATAAAGAACAATAGATTTGTATCTTTTTCGGAAAAGGAGTACACTGTGAAAACACAGTGATAAGTGAAATAAATCAGAAATAGAGCTTAAATGTCACTTGATGCTTATCTATGAGAAACCTAAAGCATAAATAAATAAAAAGTAAAATAAAAAGATAGAGAATAAGGAACAGAGAGACAGATGTTTTGAAAATTTCAAAAGGACCTGGAAGATGAAGGAAGGCAGGTGGTGGGGAAGGAAAGGAGATGTAAAATGAAGTGAGATGTGCTATGGTCTTTGTTATAACTCGGGCCCCGGCATAAAATCCAAGGAAGCAAGAGACTGAAATTTGGGAAGCAAAGGCTTTATTTTCAGGCCTGGCGATGAGTCTCTGGGAGCCAATTTGGAGACTGTGTGCTAGAGACTGAAGGGAGGACTTTAAAAAGAGGCTGGAGAAAAAGGGGCGGGGGAGAAACAAAGAAACCTGCAGAGCCATCAAACTTGTTGACCCAAATCTGGAAACTGTATAGCTGTCCACTTAGTTCTGACAACTTCAGGAGCCTTTGGCACCTTTTGAGTTACTCCCATCCTGCAGATAAGAATTATCTGCAATAGCATTTGGAGAAAAAAGTAGAAAGCTAATTATCTCAGGACAGCTTGTTAACACTAACAGGTGGGAAGGGGTCGAAAGTTACAAGAAGCTGAAACTTAAGCCTTCATAAGGATTTGGAACTTAACCCTTTTGGTGTATTAGGGTTAAGCCACAACATTTTCCTGTAATTTCTCTGAAGCTAAGGCACATTTTATGACAGATCATCACCGGGTCAGGAAGAGGTCACCAGAAACCCAAATTCTTTATGGCCTAGATAGATAGGTGAGGGGAGAGGGAGGCAATAAGGCACCATACAGAACAGAAAACGGCAGTTAGGTTTTTTTTTTTTTTCTTTCTGGGAAGGGAATCAAGGTCAGGTAAAGGGTTAAACTCATATGCAAATCTCTCTGCACACAAGCAAGTTACTTCAAACAAGTGTAAATTAGTGGGCCATCCTAGTTTTCTTTAGCTCTTTAGTGGAGAATAGAGGCGCCTAACAGTGATTAACAACCCTTGTTAGCTAGTTTTAGCACAACTTCTGTAGTTTGTAGAGGGCAACAATGGTTAACATATCAATTAGGTGAGATTCTTGCAATTCTTTACAGAGGAGAGTATTGCTCAACATATCAATTAGGTCACTTAACATATCAGTTAGGGAAAAAGGATAGAAAAACACATTTAGTAAGCCACGTTTGTAGGTTTGCTATAATACACATATAATGAAGCTATTTTCTTAGAGTACAACAGTCTTTCAGCAACTCTCCCCAATGAGTGGAATCATAGCATACTGCATATATATTTTAGTAAGAATAAAAATGTGGAATAAAGTAACAAATTCACTAGCATATTGAAATAAAAAAAAACCTGAAAATATTTTGAGGACTCACTGTAAGACAGTAAGAAGATAGAATCATATCTCTACAGTCACAAAACTGAACATACACAAGAGAAGGAAGTATAAAATTTGGGCAGTCCAAGAACCAGCATGTAAAATAACAGGAAAGACCGCAAAGATGCTAAATTAATTGTTTTGAAGATGCTAAACTGACTGTTTTGAAGACGCTAAACTGATTGTTTTCTTCCGTATCTGTGGTGGCTTAACTTAATGTGTCAATTTAATTAGCTTAGGAGCCATCCACGGGAATACCAATGTACACCTTTAGTTGTTTATGGGTGTGTCGTGGAGGGATGACCCTGGGGACCAGATATATTCCTTTATTCCTTCTTCACTGGCACTGTTCCCTTGCTCTGTTTGCTGACCACCATGAGTTAAATATCTTTGTTCCACCATGTTTTTCCACATGTTGTTTCTGTCTTGGAACCAGACAGCTATGGCCTAAATTCCATGAAACCATCAGCCAAATTAAACTTCTCGTTCTTCAAGTTGTATGGTTTTGGTATTGTACCCCCGAGACAGGAAAGAGACTAATACAACTTCCTACAAAATGAGAAGAGAGGTTACAAGGAGAGATAATGGCAACTGGACTAAAGCATCAGTAGCAGTTCTAGAGCTCAAGAAATGGCACAATCCAAGTAAAGCTGATCCAACCCCCTTTTAAAAGCATTCATTGGGCCTTTTGCAAATGACTCATGGAGTCATCAAGAAAGGGCAGAGTAAAAACTCCAGTTTGGGTGAAGTCACAGTAGGTTCTGTTGTTTTCATCCAATTAGTGGTGTAACAAGACAAAAAAGAAAAAGAAAAAAATGAGAGATTGGGGAGTGGAAACTATTCTCATAAAAATGATTAATATCTATAATACATAAAAGTTTCAAAACATAGTAACAAACACTTCTACTTAAAAATAGGTGAAGGATTCAAGTAGACACTTTTCAAGAGAAAGTGCACAAATAGGAATAAAAAATATGAAAACAAGGTTTAACTTCAGTATCCATCAAGGAAATGCAAATCAAAATTACAATGACTTACAGTTAGAATGATTATTATCAGAAAGAGGAAAAAATAACAAATTCTGGCAAGGATGTAGAGAAAAGGGAAGACATATCCTGTTGATGAGCATGCAAATTGGTATGGTCACTATGGAGCACAGTGTGGAAGAGTCTCAAGAAACTAAAAATAGATCTACCATGTGATCCATTTATACTGCTCCTGAGTATATATTCAAATGAAATGAGAGCATCAACCAGAGAAACAGGCACTACCATATTTATTTCTGCATAATTCACAGTGGTAAGACATAGAATCAACCTAGATGCATATCAACAAATGATGGGATAAAGCAAATGATTTTGTGATATATATGTTTTATTTAGCCATAGAAAGAATGCTATCTATCATTTTCAGCATAATGGATAGAACTGGAGGGTATTATGCTATATGAAACACCATCAGACACAGAGAGACAAATACCATGTGCCTCTCATATATTTAGATTAGACTATGTGTAGTGGTACATGCTTATTCTCCCAGCCACTTGGGAGATTAATGCAAGAGAATCACAAGTTCAAGGTCAGAAGCTTGACATAGAACATTCTGTCTCAAAAATAACAATTTCAAATGGCTTGGTGTGCTGGCATATGCCTTTAATCCCAGCACTCTGGGAGGCTGAAGCAGGGGGATTGAGTTCTGATCCAGGCTGGGCAACATAGTGAAACTGTTTCAAGATTAAAAAATACAAAAACAGGCTGATACAAAAGTCTTGGGTTCAATCATCAATGCTGCAAAACAATTTTTAAATCAAAAAACTAAAAATAAAATCAAAATGAACTCTAAAAAATCAATTGAGTTATGCAATAACAAATTCCAAAAGGCTCAGAAGGATAGGAAAGGAGGGACAATGGGAGGTTGGAAAAGAGCTTAACCTCTCAGGTAGAAGTAATAAGTTCTAGGGTTCTACAGGATGGGAAATATAACACACAATATCCTGTTATATATTTTATGATCTAGAAGAGAGAAGGTCGGAGTCTCCAAACACAAAGTAATGATACGGAAATTAAAGCTTTCATTACCCTGACTTGATCAGCAGGTGCTGTATACATGTATTTTTGCCTTGTTTCATAGTCTTAGAGATTGATCCTAGGGCTTCAGCACTGAGCTATATCCCTAACTCTTTCTTTACTTTTTTGTTTTAAGACACAGTCTCACCGACTTGCCCAGGTTGGGCTACAACTTGTGGTCCTCCTGCCTCAGCATCTCAAAGTGCACCACCATGCACAGTTTGTGTACATTTTTTGAAATATGATACTGAAACCCCAAAATTTGTATTATTAGAATAATATAAGAAAGAAAGAAAGAAAGAAAGAAAGAAAGAAAGAAAGAAAGAAAGAAAGAAAGAAGTTGCTGAAGTAAGTTTATTATTTCAAAAATGACTCAAGGAAGAAGAGTGAGTCACCTTACAGAGCACCTCTCACCCAATAGGGCATTCCATCTCTCCATCACTGAAGATGAACTACAAATTCCAAAGTTGGCCTCCTCAAGCAGGTGACAAGGACAAAGATGACAGGAACCTTAACATTCAAACATTTGTTTAAAAGTGACACCATTCAAGCATAAAAAACAAAGTCAGCAAACAACATCTGAGAAAATAAAAATACTACATTAACAATCATGGGGAGGGGACCTTTAAATTAAAATTTGTCTATAGTTACTATGGAATATGGCTGCTTTGAGATAGGGTCTTTAAAGAGGTGGTTAAGGCAGAATGGGGCCTCCAGAGTGCACCCTAATTCAATCTAACTGAAGACCAAGACACATGAGGCGAGAACAGAGGGTACAGATACAGAAGGATAAGACACCTGAAGGCAGCTAGAGGATTGTATCCTGCAAAGAAAATAAATAGGGCTCAGAGGACACTAATCTTCCTGGCACCTTGATCTTGAACTCCCATATGCTGGAACACAAGTTTCTGTAATTTAAACCACCCAAACTGTGTTATGTTGTCAGAACAGCACAAGCAAACTAAAACAGTACTGCAGTATTATTCTCGGGGAAGAAGTCAGGAGGATTTTTGTCAGGATGAAAAACAAACTAAGCATTGTGAAAATTTTCAATGTGATTGTCTACATTTAAATTTTCTAATAAGGTATTTGAAAGAGAATATAGATAGCTAAAGGAAGAATTGATGAGTTGGAAGATCAAGCTAAACAATTCTCCCAAAATATGGTACAAAAGTGAGGCAAAAAGCTTGAAGGAAGAGATAAAAGCCATAGATAGATTCAAGAGTTCAGTAGTTACCTGGTGTGACAAGGAGAAAAGGGTGCTGAAAAGGAGGAGATACCTCAAACTCACGGAAGACACTTCCCAGGGCTAAAGAAAGGCCAAAACTTTTCCTTCAATGGAAGATCAAATATCAAGCAGAGTGGATCAAAGAACCACAGCAAAACATATCCACATGTTGGGGATTTAGCTCAGCGGCATAAACACCTGCCTGGCAAGTGTGAGGTCTTGAGTTCAATTCATGGTACCAAAAAAAAAAAAAAAATCCACATAAAACTTTTAAAACCAATGAAAAACAAAATTCTGAACTCTTCTGGGGAACAAGGGTGAGAAGGGATAATGTACTAATGAATGAGAATTAGACAAAAGTCCGAAATCTCAGTAGCAACAAAGATGCTGGAAAATATCGGCATATTCATACCATATTCAAAATCCTAGAATCTTATTCCTAGCCAACATCGAACCAGAATACTATCTCTATCCAAATTTCAGACACAATATAAAGATATTTTTAAGTATAAAGAGTAGAGAAAGCTTAGCTGTTCACCTCTTTTGAAATAACTTCACAAGGATGCCTCAAAAAAATTAAAAATAAAATATAATGAAAAGGAAGATATTGAATGCAACAAATTATAGGAAAAAAGTTGCTGTGTCAAAAGCTATTGATGTACTTTGTAATTTAATAATCATTTTGAATCTCTTGTAATCCACAAACGAGCTCCCAAGCTTGAGTTTAAAAAATAAGTCAAAAATTTTAAAAAGCAGTGCTGATTTATTTTACCCTGGGCCCAGCAACATAGTACAGCTGGAGATTGCAAAAGCTGTGTCTTTCCTCTACACTTGTCGCCCCTCCCAGTACCTATCACAGCTCCCAAATTAAAGGTCATGGGCGTGGATCAGGAAATAGGCTAATGGGGAAGATCCTGTTTTCCTCAGCAGAGAATAGAGAAGTCTAGCAGCAATTAACAACCTTTGTTTCCCTTAGGAGAAGACAGGGAAGTCTTGCAGGAATTTACAATTTTTTTACAGAGGAGAGCATTGATTAACACATCAATTAGGTCACCCAGAGGGAGAAGGGGGAAGGGAAACATATATACAGTATGGCCACATTACAGGTATTTTGCTATAATATAAATAAAGTTCTTTTTTCTAGAGTACAACAAATCCAAATCATAGATGATCTCACCATCACACGTATTGGGTTACACATTGAAGAAAAAATGAGAGCACACTTCTCTCATGGGGAAAATGTTTAGATACTTATTAATTCTAGATTTAAAAAAGAAATGCATACATTTAGGTATTCAATTGTGTGAGAAATCTACATCTGTTGGAAGTCACTGAAGAAGGGAAATGAAAGCTCTCATTAAGATCATTAATTGTACCAAGTAGCTACTAATCTATGGCAATAGAGTGAAGAAAATGTGCCCTTGAAAGGAGCAGAGAGCAATGACCTTTCTCAGTCATCCCTTCCATCCCTTGATCACTTTTGTGGGGAGATAGACCAAACAGTGATCAAAATCATAAATGCAAGTTTAAATACTAGTTCCTGATTTGATAACCGCTTGACCTTGGTTATGATATTTACATCCCTGTAGCAACTGCTTGTCCATTGATAGAATGGAATTAATGTGCCCTTATAAAATTTTTGTGTAGAGAAATAATCAGGGCTAAATCTCTTGGCAACCTGTGCTTACACAGAGGAATAGAAAGTGATCTCTCCCTTGTACCAAGCCTCAACCATCTGGTGTTTTGTTTTCATTTTATTTTGTTTGTTTTTCCTTTCCCTTTCTTTGCCCACTATCCTCAGGAATTTTCAGCCTACCCACACTCTGAGACAGCTGTAGGGAAATGTTGTCATGAGAAGCTTGCTGTAGTTGGATCCCATAAACTGAACAGGATAGTCATCACAATCCATGGAACTGTACATCACCAATCTCTATCACATTGAAGCAAAGAATCATGCATTCCCTCTGTGCCTCAAAACACATCAGGTCACTCATATAAAGATGTGGATAGAACTGTAGAGAAGGGCATTAGGGGTCATCTCCTAGCATCAAAACTAAGTAATGTATTTCTTTTTTTTGTTTGCTTGTAGGTATTGTTTAATTTCTTCTTTAATTTAATTTAATTTAATTTAATTTAATTTAATTTCCCTGTGACCCACTGATTACTCGAGTGTGTTATTCAGTTTCCATATGTTTGTGGGATTTTTGCAGTATCTTTTATCATTAATTTCTAGTTTCATGGCACTATGATATGATAACATGCAGGGGATAATTTCAACTCTTTTACATTTATTTAAATATTTTCTGTGGGATAGTATATGATCTATTTTAGAGAATGTCCCATGTACTGCTGAGAAGAATGTGTATTCTGATTTTGTTGGATAGAACACTTTATATATGTCTATCAAGTCCATTTGTTCACAGGTATGATTCAGTTCTGTAACTTCTTTGCTCATTTTCTGTCTGGTTGATCTGTCCCTTAGTGTCAATGGTGTGTTAAGG